AGCCAGCCCACGAGCCCTCCATAGAGACAGCTCATTTGCCCTCTGGGGCCACCCTTCCTAGCTAACTGCTGCTGCTTTCCACTCCAGGTTCCTGACGGTGGCAAATCCAGGAGCAGCGTCCATGCATGTCCTACTGGAATTGTGCTCTGGGGCAGCCGGCGGTGCCTCTGGAGGCATGCAGCAGTGTTTCCGAGAGTCCCCACATCCTGTCAAGTCGCTGTGGCTGCTGAACCTCGTTGTGTCACACTGTTTCCCTCCTCGCTGGTCCTGAAGGCCTCTAGGCCACCTCCTGCCCCAGAATTGGTAAGAATAAATATTCAAGTGATGGCAGCGGTGACCCACTTATTAGCAGATGCCAGAACCCCAGGGCACAGTGGCTGATGCTGAAAGAACACAGAAAGGGACTGTGGGAGGGACAGGAAACGACCTTGGGAAGACATGTCCAACTCCAGCGCTCCTTGAGTGAATGTGAGCAGTCCGCTCCACTATCTAGGAGCGAGGGGCAACGAGAAAGACAGCAAATCAATCAAGCAGACAGACAGGGTGTGTGAACACGGATCACTGAACGGACACCATCCTTGAGCAGCGTCGCCCCACCTCTCTGCAAACATCAAGCTCCAAGGGCTGATGGCCGGTCACGACCCGCCCCTTCTTTCTGGCCTCGCCAGCAGGACTGCCTGCAAGCCTAGCAAGTCTGTTACTGGGGCTGGAGGACGGGATGGTAACACCCCCGGGAGCCAGGCCCAGGGGAAGTCACAGTCCTCAAGTCTCAGTTTTCCCTGCCGTAAAGTGGCATGACGCCACGGGCCTTACTGTGCAGCTGGGAGGACCCAATGGGAAAGGAGAAAGTAAGTGGTAATATGTTACACCCACGCAAAGCCGCCATAGGAAGAGTTGGTCAAGGCCTGGCGCAGTCATGCGGGCGCGCACTCCCCTCTCCACCTCCTTACAAAAAGGACATTTACCCGTTTTAGGAAGAGACCCCGGGGTTTTAAAAAAGGGACTCCATGCTGTTTTAAATGTTGCAGATGACAGAGACAAGTACTGCTGCGTGCGTAAGCCTGAGCCAAGATGGAATCAGAAAACCGGACTTCCTGGCAGAGGGAGAAACCGGACTCTCGGTGAAAGCCTAGGAAGACCCTTCTGATGTTAACATGAGCCCGAATCGGATTGCCCTACACGTGTAGGAAGAGCCCAGCAGGCAGAACTCCCGAAACTCCCATGCAGCCCCCAACACACACCCTGCTTCTTCAAGGGGGTGCCCAGCAGAAGGTGGCAGGTCATCTGCCAGGCACGTGCAGGCCGCCATCTCTCCCCCAGGCCACCCAGGCCCTGGAGGTGGATCTCACGGCTCCTGTGTCAAGGCAGGATGACAAGCCAGGGTGACCTTGTCCTATCCCAAGGCAGCCCACGAGGGGCCCCCGCTCCATACCATCAGTTTGTGGCCGAGTCTCCAGGCAGGATGAGCTCCGCTCTGCCATCTGCGCTCCCGGCTCTGCTTGGCCGGCACCTGCTGGGCTGCCGGTGACCCAGCGGCATCTGTCCACCTATGTAAGAGGCCGAGGCCGCTCCTGCAAACCGGGAGGAGCTCTCGGCCCTGGGGGAGTCCCACTGCGGCCCCAGGGCTTCCCTCTGACACTCTACAGGGTGGCGGCAGTGACAGGGCCAGGCCCTGGGCAGGGGGTGTGAGGGACAGGCTGGGAAGTGCTGCTGGGACGAGGAAGTGAACAAGTACTTGGCAGTGCCCTGGACTCCAGGGGACGGCGGCACACAACCTGCTTCCCAGACACTGGGGACAGTGGATTCCTGGACGGAAATGATTTCCGTACAACCCTAGTACCACTTCACCCCTGGTCCGTGGCTCCTTCTCACGGCACAGGAGAGAGTGAAGTGCTCAATTCTGACTTTGTTTCCTAGCAAAGCCGGAGCTCTGCAGAAAGAATCCCAAGATATTCCCCAGCCTGGAAGCGAGGTTACTGGTTTGAAAGAGTTGGGGCACTCAACACTTTCCCACTGATCCTTCAAAGAAGCAGGAGAGGCGGGTGGTGGGGTTCTGAGAATCCAAGGCCAGCTGATAGCAAGTCCTGATGTTGATTCTCACGGGCTCTTGCCAGGGCCCAGGTCACTGAAGGCTCCAGCTGCAGTGGCTTGTGGGGACGGCCTGGAAAGCACGTGTGACTCACGGGACCCCTGCTCCCAGTGCCCCGCTCTGTGGCTACTCCAAGGAAGGAGAGGGAGAGACTGACTCATATCAGCTGCGCTGGCAATCACAGGATGTGGATGGAGGTCGCAGGGTGGAGGGGAGGAGGAATTTTCCATTTGTTAAGGTCAAGGGCTTTGGGAGGTGACTGGTAGCCGCTGGGCGAAAGCTCCCTTCTTATCATCATGCTATGCACAGGCTGGCCTCTAGCTATACAGTTAATACCCCAAACATCCTCATTCTATGTATGCATTTCAGTAGCGTTCCTGGGAAGATACAGAAAAGATTGTTTCCAGAGAACTTTCTGGAAATTAAACCACAAAATAAAAGCCTGTACCTTTATTTCCCAGAATGGACTGTCCCAAAATAGCAATGAAGAGATGGTTATTACAGGGCCCTTCCAAACACGCTGGCTGGGAAGGTGCATCATCTACCTGAGACAAGGAGATGGTTGTGCACGGGCTGGGGGTGCTTTAAAGCTGCCTGCCGCCTTGCCTCACCTTTTGGTGAAGTCTCGCTGCCAGCAAAATCAGAAACCGCAGGTAGAAAGAGGTGCAGTGGGAGTCTCTAGAAGGGATGAACAATCTTCTGAACGTGAATGACTGAGGGGTAGGGGGAGAAGTACAACCCTCCTCCTTAATGATCTGAAGAGGCCACCTGAGGGAATGAAGACATACGGTTCAGCCCTGTGGGTCAGATTCGGGAGGGGAAGATCCCTCACCTGCAACAGACAGCTCAGGACCAAGGAAGGAAACCTCTGAGTTTGCCAATCTGTCCCAGCTCCCTGACAGGGGGAGGCCTGTGGGTGGACACCCAGCGCCCAGCGTGGAGGGTCGGAAGGCACGGTTCTTCCGGAGCCACAGACCCTGGGAGCCACACGCAGAGTTGTAAAGTAACTCCTGAGACAATGTGGAGGTCTGTCTGCCTTAAATTTCTCCAAACCAGGCAGAAGAGCACATCTCAACAGAATACTTGCTGCGCCAAGCCCCCACCAGGGGCCCGGGAGGTGGGGAAGGGGGACAACCACCCATCGAGAACAAGGCTCTGCTTCTGCTCACCCTTCCCATCTCTGTAGCTTTCACAGGCCGGGTGGCAATCAGCCCTAGGAGTTACAAGCGCAGTATCTGCAAGATGAAGGCTTTCCTGAATGGCTCCTTCTGTTCCGTCAGGGAATTACTGAGATTCAGGGAGGGAGGCTCCCATCATGTGGAAGGTTTACAGGAATAAGTGAAGGAACAACTTAATAAAGCACTAATAATGTTTCTCAATAATTTATCAGGCGAATGGCAGCGGCCAATATTCCTAGCACTCCGTATCTGTCTTGCTGTGGAGAGGATGTGCCAGGCAGATTCAGCACAAACTCTAACAGCCTCTCCTGGAAAGACCCAGCTGCGGTCTGGTCCCTCTGGCAGGTGCCTCTGCCCTGGACATGCTCCTGTGTCCGTGCTGAGCCTCTTGGACCCCTTCCTCCACGTCCTCCTTCTGCCAGTTAGAGGTCCAGGTGGGTCGTTACACTCACTGATACTTTTGCTAATTTTATCAATGACAGTTTGTTGAAATGCTGAGAGGCTAAGAGGCCTCAGCTGTGCTGCCCTCCTGATCTCCCCCTCCCCCTCCCGGCTGGGGGAGGCGAAGTGGGGAACCGTGCCAGGGAATTAACTTGCTACCAAATTCCTACCAGACCTGCGGTGGGGAGATACGAGATACGATTCTACTAAAAGACAAGTTTCTAGTCATGGGTGAATGCGCGAGACAAAAACCAGACCATCTGACCACTCCGGCAATGCAGGAGAAGAAAACCAGTCTCTCCCCAGGCTTGGGCCACAGGCCGGCTTCGGTGGGTCCACAGGGTGGGACTGGGAAGGCAAAACCACCATTCAGTGGCCCTGGGTTAACAAACTCAGAACCAGATACCAGCTGGCAGGGCCTGCCAAAACCTTTGCCAGGATGGGGGTAATTAAGTCAGGAGGCCAACTCCCCGAAAGGCTCGGCTCTCTCCCGAACCCTGCCTTCCCCTCCAAATCAGCTAAGCGGCCACGTGTCAAACTGTGTGTCACCTCGCACACCTAAATCCGTGTCAGGGTTAAAGAGGACCAAGAAGAGGCAGAGAATATTAATAGATGCTGCAAAAGGGCGAGGGAAGCATTTCTGAGTCCCACCCACAAAGCAGGCAGAGATAAATAACGGCCTGTGGTTTCATATCTTATTACCCAAGACCCGTCTGGCACGGTATCCAGCTCCAACCCGCCCCTCCTGCCCATGGCACAAAGCAGTCGAGAACAGCCTGGAGATTCATCTTCTTCCCCCACCTGCAGGGTGGAGGGGAGACAGCTGGGCTGATCCCTATCTGGAGAGCCTGTTTGTGGTCGGGTCCAACCGTAGGGATGGCTCAGTCCTGCCTGCCCAGTCAGGAAGCCCGGCACCTCCCATATGCTCTTGGGCTGGTCAGCAGTAAGGTCAAAATGTGGCAAGTCTCCAGGAAATTCGTTCTGACGCTCTTAAAGAGCTGTGCTAAGAGCTATGCCCCTCAAACCCCGAGCTCAATTTACAAGAGTTCACAGCCAGGAGCTGGCAATGACCCGAATGCTAACTCCGAGCCACATGTGACCGGACACGTAGGCTATATTCTCAGTAACGTGACATGGTTTCTGCCCAGGACCATGGCCCCAGTAACTAGCCAGAGCGGGAAGCTGTGTAGACCCTCCTCTCTGGGGAGGGAGCTCGATCAGAGAATAAAGTTCAAATGCCCCAGGCCAGCCGGGGTGGGCAGAGGCCGAGGGGCCGAGGCGAGGTCACTCACCAAGTAGATGCGGTAGGCGTCCACGCGGCGCAGGGGCCCCCAGCACGGGTCCGTGTCATTGTGCTTGCTGTCGGCCTCCACACCACAGGACTCGTTGCCGGTGGCACTGCTGATAAAGAGAAGAGTGGCTCAGTGTGGCTCCCGCTTGGGAAGCAGACAGGATGGAACGTTCCACCATGGAGCCTCCACGCCCACCGAAGCTGCTCCCGGGCCGACCACCTCACTTGCCAGGAATCACAATCTCCTGTCTCTGGGCAGGTGCCACCTACTCCTGCAGCAGCATTTCCCAGCGACTCGGGGGCCCCCGGTGGGGATCCCAGGCATCTTCCCAATGGGGCAGGGAGGGGGACAGCGGTGTTGAGCAGGCTTCCAAAGCACAGAGCACAGCCAGCTGTGGGATGTGCAGAAAAGGGCCTTGGGCCTCTCCATGCTTCAGATGCCAACACGGTGGCTGGGCCTTGTGCTTCTACCAAAAACTACCTCGACTGGCCGAGGAAGGCTGTTCGACTACAGCCAGTGTGTGTGTGTGTGTGGGGGGGGGTGAGGGGGCCACTCACCAGGTCACCTGCATGAGGGAGAAGGGCACGGCGGCAGCGTAGATGGCTAAATCCCCATACAGGTAAATGATGATGCAGAAATAGAACAAGTTGACCCCCACTGAAAGGAACAGAGTCACTGTCAGGGAGCCACAGGGGCGCCTGTGTTCCTTCCTGACAGTCAGGTCTCTACCTCTTCCACGCCATTCCTTTCTCCAGGCTGTTTACTTTCTACAAAAAGAAAACAACTAAGTCCCGTGGCTTGTTCTGGCTGGCTACACTGTGATGTGGCAGGAGACACGGCTGCCTGTGATGTCACGGTCACCTCAGAGAGGCTAAGTGGGGCTGGGGGCCTCAGAGGCTCTGAATCCGGGCAGATGCAGGGCTGGCTGGGGAGGATCAGAGGGGCCTTCACGCTTGGGACAGGCTGCCAGGCAGGAGGAGGAGAGAGGCCCTGAGTCAGGAGCCTGAGCCTGAGTGTGTCTGGACCAGCCAAACACAGGATTCTACGAGAAAGGCTGGTACTGAGGACCTGAAAAGCAAAGAGAACAAAAAAACAGTCCAGCTTCTGAAGCTAAAATCAAGAGGGTAAAAAGCCCCTGATTTCCAAAGACCAAGTGCCTCATTCAGAGTCTGACTGATCACCAAGCCCCAGGGATGGGAAGGGGTGGCCAGGGGTGCTGGTGACAGAAGGGGCAGCAGGAGGGGGCGTGCAAGATGAGCTCACGGTCAGAATGTTTGCCAGGGAGGATGCTTCCTTTGGAAGGTGCACGTGGAAGCTCCCTCTGCAGCGGCAGACCTTGCTCCCTTCTCCCTCCGGTGGGGCCTGAACCAGGAGATGGAGACGCAGCTTCCAGCCCTAGTGTCACTGATCTTGCTTCCTGGCCGTAGCAAGTCCCTGACCATCTCCCATCCTGTACAGTGAGAATTCCACCTGTGCTAAATTCCATATGTGATTCCAGCTTTAAAGACCAGGTATTAACAGCTCGGAAAAAAGCATCCAGGCCCTACAACCTCAGGGTCATGGCCGCAGACAGCCAGTCCAAACTCCGGTTCAGACTGACTGCTCGTGTTTGATGTCATGGGTCTCAAGCTCCCGGTTTCTCTGAGAACAGAAAGAAAAATGAAGTGACAGCTCCCCTCTAATGCTGGTGGCTCAGAAGAGCCTCTAGGATCCCCAAGGGGAAAGCCAGGGACATGTTCCTCCTGGGCTATTTGAGGGCAGCTCTGCTCTGAGGAGTCTGGGGGAAAAAAGACTAGGAAAATACAGTCCTTGCAAGAACCCCAGAGGGCCTCAGACAGCATCGATGTTCAAGCTCAGTGGCCCCTGAGGTCTGGCTGCCACTCACACCCCAGGCCCCAGGTACAGCCTGTGCCTCAGCTTGTCTTTCTGCTCTGATGCCAATGCTCTCTGCAGAGGCACTGTCCCCTCCCCACTCACCCTCTCCTCCACTCATCTGTGGACTGCAGTTTCAGCTGTTTATAAACTGCCATTGGCCCTCCCTGATCAATAAACTTCATTACTAGACACAAAATGGGAGGATCAATGAGCTTCCTGAGAAGACAGTAATGACAAGGCCTGGCATTGCTAGTCACAAGAAGTGAGTCTGGACCCCAAGGGGGTTTGTTGTGGAGGGTGGCAGTCCTTCCGACAGGGAAGAGAATGACCCTTGAATTAGGAATAGGACAGAGCAGTGGGTTTCACCTGGGAGTGAGTTTGCCTCGCCACCCCCACCAGGGATGATCTGACAATGTCTGAGGATGTTTTGGTTGTCATGACTCGGCGGTGCTATGGCACCTAGTGGGTGGAGGCCAAGGATGTTGCTCAGCCTCCCACAATGCACAGGATGGGCCCCAAGACAAAGAATGAGCCAACTCAGATGTCAACAGTGCCAAGCGTGGGAAACAGAGGGAGAAGGGAAGAGCTTAGGGAAGCAGAGGAGAAGGCGTCCCCTGAGCATGAGACTGCTCTTGTATGAGTGTGCTCCTTTCCTATTAGATCTGGATGAACTAGAAGTCTAGTCTGTAAGGGGACGGAGAAAAAAACAAAAACAAAAAACACATGGGTTCCCAGAATTGTTAAAGAAATCGGAGTGGACTGTAAAACATGCTAAGCGGAAAAAAGTTTCAAAGGTGTTATGTCCTCTCTTCAAATGTATGTTTTCTTTCCAAAGCCCGCATTTGGAGGGGGACTGCGTGCAGCTGCCAGGAGGAAATGTTCACACTCTTCATCTAATGAGATGGGGAGAGATAGAAACAGAATAGAGGAAAAGCACAGAGCGGGCTGCACACAACCAATCTGGTTTTCATGGATTCTGGAACCCTCTGTGAAGCTGGTAGGGAGGCAATCTTTGGCTGATGATCATAATCTTCCGGACTGGACAGTCAAATCACACCACCAGTGATAAACCGAATGCTTAATGTCCTGAGAAGCAGTCAAGAAGACTGGTTTCTATGATCCCCCAGGCTCCGAGTTACTGCAGCCACATTCAAGACTTAGAAAGAGCCAGTGGAGATGCCACCCCTGCAAACAGGGGCTGTGACAAAGGGGCGGAAAATCTCCCAAAGAGAAAATCCTTACAGAAAAGAGAATTTATTGAGATCTGTCTGTCTATGAAGGGGAAATGGGCAGGTTTGGGCACTAAAAAGGCAAGCTCTTAAACAGCTCATCTTCCTAAAGAACAACATTTGCCATAGAGGTACACAGTGTTGTCACTGAACATCTGAGCTGGGGCAGGGGGATCCTCTCGGCTGCAGGCAATCCCACTACGGAGCAGGCAGGGTGGAGAGGGCTCATAGACAAGAGTCCCAGACAGCAACCCGTGCGTGGACTCCTTGCGCCCTCTGCTGGCCACCAGGGCGTGGGGGGGGGGGCGGACGGAAAACGAGAGACAGGTACATACACACAGGCCGTGTGCACAGTGTATCCTACCACCATCAAAGGTATCTGCCCTGCGTTGTCCTAGACTGAACAGTCCAGAAGAAAAGAGAGACAAGTCAGAAGCAATCAAGCAAGAAGCACAAAGCTACCAGCCAGCTCCACTGGCTTCCTTCCTTGGAAAGCTGCTTAGGATTCCTGACCTCCACCAGCAGGAGGAACCAAGTAGCTGCTTCTCTCTTCCTAGCGCTGATGAACGGGGAGGGATCCAGGAACACAATGTGAGCGCTTCAGGCCTCTGGGCAAGGCGGCTGCTCAAATGTGCTGGGAGCTGGCCGACAGTCTGCTCCTCTGCATCGCCTGCCCCATACCTAGCTGTCAAGGTCTGTCGGAAAGTACCCCCCCTTTGCCCTCACCCCACCTTGAGAAAGAACTTATACCTTTATTGAAGAACATGGAGGCCATCTGTCCCATTTCCACCCGGTCTGTGATTTCAAAAAGGTTCAGAGATCCACGTCTCTCTGTGGAGCCAAATGGACAAGGAAGAGGAAGCGGTTTTCATTTGGAAAAGCTCCTAGAGGAGGTCCTGAGCTCACTAAATTCTCCACAGTAAGGAAATCCTAAAGCATTTCAAAATCTTGTGAAAACTTCTAATGTTTCCCACTTGAAGTATTTTAAAACAGTCTACAGAAAGGGATCCCAGGGGCGCTCGCTGTGGATGGGGGGGCTGTGGGGTGGGGGGGCTGGGACGCCGGGCCCTGGTTCGCCCGGCGGGGCCCAGGTGGGACAGGAGGATGAAGTCAGACACCCCACATTTATTCACGCTTCCAGTGTGCCCTGGGTACTGAGGTACGTAATCTGCCCAAGCTGCAAACACTAGCAAGTGGGGGAGCCAGCAGGGTGAAGCGGGGACCCCAGGCTCGTGATCTGGCCAGAGGGTCTGTGCAGAGACTCCCCGTCCTCTCTACAAAGAAAGGGGACCCTGTGGACCAGAGGGAGGTGCCAGCCTGCCCAGAACCCCAAGACTTACGCACTGACAGGATGGGCCGTTTCTCTGCCCGCTCGTAGTTGTCCTGGACAAGGACATCACTGTCAGAGGCCGTGGAGGAGTCGTCATCTTCCTCCTCCTAGGAGGGGTGGGGCGGGGAGGGAGCACATAACGCTACAGAAAATCCATGGAAAACTGAAGAACCCATTTCCTTTGTTATTTCTTTCCAGAAGGTGTCTGACCAGGGGCACCCCCCAGCACCTCCATGCTGTCTGACCAGGGGCACCCCCCAGCACCTCCATGCTGCCACACTAGGAGGTGCAGACACTCAGATGTCAGATCTGAAGCTGCAGCACAGTTCTGGGGTTCAGAATGATGAGCAAGCTCAATTAAGGGTTCAAGGGACCCATGACATGACATTTAGAGAGCAGAGACTGCATCTGTTCACTAAGCGTATGTGGCTGTCAAGCCTCAGCTCCGGGACAAGGGTCTTGGAGTAGTGCTGTGGACATGAGCCCGCCATCCATCGGGAGGGAAAGAACTGGCCCCCGAGGGCCTCCTCTCGTGGCACGCGTTGGACCCAGGCACCACCCGGAGAACGGGCAATACACACACCTGGTGGTTTTCCATCCTCTTCCAGTGGAGCTGAGCGTTGGCCGCCGCCATGGCCTCTACCACGAAGGTAGTCGTCACAAAGCTGCAGGGGAAGGCCACAGGGGAATCGCCAAGGGCAGGGACGAGGTCGGAGGTGGTACAATGAAACAGGAAAAACCATTTTAAGACCTGACCAGACCAGCAAGTCCAAAGCGTTCTCTCTTCTGAGAGCTGCTCCTGAGGGAGCTTTCGAGATGCATCTGACCTGATAAAATGTGCGTGCACGTGATGACTGGCGTGCTTGCCTTGATTGCCCTGTCCACGTCTAGAATGTGATTTGATGCATGGGAGAGAGGGGTGTGCAACAGGCTGATGGGGGGGCAGGTAGAGTGTGAGCCTGGGGGAAGGGGGATGTGGGGCGATGCGGTGCCACACACCAAGAAGGGGCCTGCTGGGGGCAGGGCGGGGAGCAGGCCGATTCACAGGGAGCCTTCTGAAAGCTTTGGGGAAGGGCAGTGGGCAGCTCTCCCCTGTCCTTGATGGGACACAGATGAGTGGTTACACACACTCATGGACAGGAGCACAAGCATGGATAACTGAAAAGGGACATTTGGCTCTGGAATGTGTTTCCATGTTTCCTTCCTTCCTTTTTTGGCAGTACCTTTACTTTCCCAATAATCTAGATAATGTAAAAATAAGCTTGCATTTTTACGGCTTGAATGGAAAGGGACACTGGGAGGTGGCAGCAGACATTTGCTGGAGAGTCAGACTAGAGTGAAAAGCCATCTTCGCTCTTCCTCTCAGCAAAGCTGATGCCCAGAAACCCAAGGACTGCATCCCTCCCTGCTGAACCCCAGCAGCACAGTCACCTCCCTCCTTCTCAAGGCTCCACCCCAGTCCTCCTCAAGAGCCCTTGCCTGCCACAGGCTGACTGCTCAGCCCAGTGGGGCAGGCGTTCAACCCACACCCGCTCCATCTTGGGGGGTGGAGGGCAGCTGGCTCTGAAACTCCCATTCCAGCGCCTCAGCACCTTCTAGAAAGGTTTCTCATTATCTTGCTTAAGTGGCCATTTTAAGTACTTTAGATTTTCCCTTCCTTTTGCAAGTAAAACTAGAATCAATCTCAGTTAAGGCATAAAGAGGCTTCTCACGGTTGCACGAAGCCAACTCATCGATCATGTTCAAATATAAATGGGTTGAGCAGGGAGGGGACATGGCAGCCCCTACCTGGGGGGCCCCAATAATCACTTCCCATTCAGATGGCTGCCCACGCTGAAGGTCCTTTAAAGGGGACAGCAGAATCACAGAAGGACAAGGATTTCTAGGGCTCTTGGCTGCCAGTACCCCACGGATGGCCACAAAACTCCCAAAAGAAATTGGGTGAAAGAACAGAGAAATATGGGCATTCTCCTAACCCATTCAGCCTCTTTGAGTTCCTCACTGGCTTCAACTGTAACCCTGTCATCCTTCCAAGAGTACCCGCTCCTCCCTCTTTCCCATCTGCCGAACCGCTGCCCTCTGTGACCACCGACTACCTGCCAGAAACTGCCATCACCCCCACCTCCCCAGCCTCAGCCCGCCATGCTTTGTAGGGTTTTTTCCCACATTACTCATCACCTTCCAACTTACTCTACAATTCTCTTATTATCTCCACTCCTTATGTCTCCCCACAGAGAGAGAGAAAAAAGTCTTGAGGGCAGGGATCTTTGCTCTGTTCACCCAAGAACAGTGGCCAGTGTCGCCTCTCCTAGGGAGGTACCCCTGGGGGATGTTTGCAGGTGTTCCGTTACCTCTTTTTGGCAGTTTGTGGATTCCTATCTGGAAATGCACAATCCTAAATCCCTTACGAGCCTGGGGTACTTGCTGAGTGAATTCCCCACCTGCACGCAGAATCCCTGAGAGGAGCCTCAAGTAGGCTCTCCCCTCTGTGGAGCGTAGCTGGGGAAGCCCACATACGTGGCTCAAGGAGTAGGAGCCCCTGAAAGCCTGGGAAGGCACTGGCCCCGTATTTGCTGCCGGGCACGAGATGAGGTGAGATTAACCCTTGATTGTGTGTGTACCTGTGTGTTTATCACTTACTCCATGAACTACCTTAAGCGAATTCTAAATCCCAAACTGACTTCTCTTATCACCGCAGATGTTTGTCCGATTCTTTTTCTGGGGCTAGGCAGTATTTTCTCAGAGAACAAAAATTAATGGTACCATTAAGAAAGTATACAACAGGGGAAGTCAACCAGCCGGGGGAAGCAATGTGAGCATCACGTGAAGCATTCCAAAGCCTAGCCAGATGTCTGGATTCTTAACTGATCAGGTTGTGTGACTGCTAGCACAAGACCTGGAGACCTTTGTGTCTCCTTTCTTGTTGCTGGGCCACCCTGGTTAGGATTCACCGGGGACATGTGCCTGCCCCCTCAGGCATGCTTCCTCGTGTTAATGAAGAGAAGTCAGGGCTCCGTGGGCAGGCTTCTCCCGGCCCCCCCGTGTGCCAGCCTCTTACCTCATGAAGCCCAGGAACACCAGCAGGACCAGGCTGACCAGCCACCCCGCGGTGGCAAAGGCCTTGGGCATGGTGAGTGCACCTGTGCCCACGATGAGGTTAAACATGTACACCAGTCCCACCTGGAAGCAACAGAAGTGATGTTCAAGTCCCCAAATGAATTAACCTCCCCACCCCCAGCGGCTCCCAAAGATGACACTGGGTGACTGCCAAACTGGAAGCAGGGAGGCCAGACATGAGCTGGGGAAGCAGGTCAGAAGGCAGAATTCCGCCTAGCTTCAAGGGAGGTGTGCTCTGCCACCGGCTACTGGGGAAGCGAACGTCAACACTCCAAAGGCTCAAGTCCCACATCCCGTCGCTCTTCCCAAGATGTCTCTGCTGATCGGGTTCCTTCTCTTCTTCTGCTGTCACCACCCCGCCACCTTGTCATTTCCTATTACTCAAAGCTGCGCCCTGGATGTTAGCTCCCTGCCCAACCAGGCTGTAGGCTTCCTGAGGACATACCACCACATCAGGGGACCCTGCACAAGGATGAACCTAGTGCTGACCTAAAGAAACCTCTACTCTTCTGAGACCTCCGAGCACGTGACCCAACCCTGCTCCCCACCCATTCTTGCCACTGTCCTTTGGGATGCTGACATATCACGCTGCTTCCTCTTCCCTACCATCCTTCCCACACGAACTTCAGGGATTTTTATGAAAATTGAGATATAATTCACATGCCATAAAACTCAACTCTTTTAAGATATTTGCAAATGACGTATCTGATAAAGGATTAGTATCCAAAATATATAAAGAACTTAACTCAACCGCTAAAAAATAATTAATCCAATAAAAAATGGGCAGAAGTCATGGACAGACATTTCTCCAAAGACATATAGATGACCACCAGATACAAGATGCTCAGCATCACTCATCATCCGTTACCTCTTTTTGGCAGTTTGTGGATTCCTATCTGGAAATGCACAATCCTAAATCCCTTACGAGCCTGGGGTACTTGCTGAATGAGTCCCCACCTGCACGCAGAATCCCTGAGAGGAGCCTCAAGAGAAATGCAAATCAAAACCACAATAAGCTATCATCTCACACCTGTCAGAATGGCTAAAATCAACAACACAGGAAACAACAGGTGTTGGTGAGGATGTGGAGAAAGGGGAACCCTTGTGCACGGTTGGTGGGAATCCAAACTAGTGTAGCCACTGTGGAAAACAGTATGGAGGTGCCTCAGAAAGTTAAAAATAGAACTACCCTATGATCTGGTAATCACACTACTGGGTATTTACCCCCCAAATACCAAAACCCTAATTCAAAGGGATACACGCACCCCTATGCTTATAGTAGCACTATCTACAATGGCCAAATTTTGGAAGTGGCCCAAGTGTCCATTGATAGATGAACGGATAAAGAAGAGGTGGTAAATATGTACAACGAAATAGTATTCAGCCGTCAAAAGAATGAAATCTTGCCACTTGCAATGATGTGGATGGAGCTAGAGAATATAATGCTAAGCAATGGAAATCAGTCAGAGATTTCACTGACATGAGTGAAATCACCATATGATTTCACTCGTGTGGAATTTAAGAAACGAGCAAAGGGAAAAAAGAGAGGGACTGGGGGAGAGAGAGACAAAACAAGAAATAGACTCTGAACTATAGAGAACACACCAATGGTCACCAGAGGGGTGGTGGCTGGGGGACTAGATGAAACAGGTGAAGGGGATGAAGAGCATACTTGTCATGATGAGCACCGAGTGATGTACAGACTTGCTGAATCACTATGTTGTACACCTGAAACTAAGATAACACTGAATGTCAACTACACTGGAATTAAAATTAAAAACTTAATAAAAAAGTTCTTTTAAAGGACACAGTTCAGTGGTTTTTAGCACAGTCACAAGGTTGTACCACCATGTAGTTCCACTTCATCACCCCAAAAAGCAAGCAGCTACCCACTAGCAGCACCCGCCCTGCCCCTGACAACAAGCCTCCGAGGAGAATTGCTAGGTCACTGACCTCAGGTTTTAAACTCTCATTCTTGCCAACTTGACTCTAGCCGTTAACTGTCATTTTCCTTTTTCGTCTAGCTGTTAATTGTCATTTTCCTTTTCTCGACTCTAGCTGTTAACTGTCATTTTTCTTTTTCAAGATCTCAACCAGGAAATTCCTTTCTCTGAGCTGAAGCCTCTGCAGCCCTGGCCATTCCCTTGGACACCTGTAGTCGCCCCGCCCGCCCGACCCAGGCCACCCTCTCCACTCTGGCATTACTTGTGCTCTTCCACATCATTTACGATGGGCTAGTTCCACAAAGCATGGTCTATCCCCGCCTCACACACCCTCCCCTGTGCTGCCCCTCCTGACCCCAGCCTTGGATGGAACTAGCACCTGCTTCCTCTGCTCCCTATACGAAGCTGCTAAGAGTTCCTGGAAATTTTCTTTCTTCTTCTTCTTTCTTTTAATTAGAATGACTGGTCCCACAACAAACGAATGGTTCCTTCACCCGTGCTCCGCAGCATCAGACTGTCTTTATTCCACCACGGACTTCTCGGCATTTCCCACAAGAAACCATCAAACCTCACTCTTCGTGCCTCAGCCCCTGACCCCACCCCTCTCAGCTGAAGGCTGCGTCCCATGTTATGGAGGTGACTGAGGCCATCTGACATGCCCTCCCCAAGCCCCACTCTCTCCTCACTCAAAAATCAGTGTCTGGGGTGCCTGGGTGGCTCAGATGGTTAAGCGTCTGCCTTCGGCTCAGGCCATGATCCCAGGGTCCTGGGATCGAGACCCACATCGAGCTCCCTGCTCCTTGGGGGCCTGCTTCTCTCTCTTTCTGTCTCTCATGAATAAATAAATAAAATCTTTAAAAAAAAAAAATCAGTGTCTGCAGCCTCCTGATGCCCTCCCTGCCTGTGGGGAACATGTGTCCTTCCTTCCTGGGGGACGCTGAGCCCTGCACCCAAACTTCTGGGCTCAGTCCTTCTTTCTGGAATCTTCTTCCTACCAGCTCCTCCCCTCTGCCTACAAGCATCCTTGACACCTTTGAAACACAATTCTCCCACTTCTCTTAACCAAACTCATTGAAGTAGCTACCTAGTTCCTCTGCCTTCATTTCCAAGTTTCTGTACTTTGTGGTTTCCAACCCCAGAGCTCTTTTGAAACTACATTCTTCAAAATCACCAGTGACCTCCTATTTGCCTAATCCAAGGGCTTTCTTAGTCTTTATTCCTTATTACACTCTGACGTAAGCGGTCTCTTTTCCTCTCTACTCATTTTTCCCTAAGCCACTTCACTCAGTCCTGCGGCTTTAACTACCACGGCTGGACAGAGGGTGACTGGGCCTCTCTCCACACCAGCCTTCCTGCAGACCTCAAATCCACTGTCTGCTGGTCACCCCCGCCTCCTCCCTTCTGCGTATCCCCACGCTAGCCATTCTCCTTCTGAAGAGTCTTCTGTGGCTACCTCCGGTCCAATTCCCATTTAATTGCTTCCAGCCTGGACTGGGACAGCCGCTTCCTAACTGGGCTCCCTGTGCTCTATGACATCGGCTGACTTACAGCTGGCTTTTCTGTTAAAAACAACACAAACACTTCATCTCTGGGAACGCCTACCCATCTCTCATTTTTACTTCCCCATTCTTAGAAATATGCACTTTTCTATATTTTAAAAAATTTTCTAAAACAACCATATACTAAATTTTTTTTTTATCAGAAACATACAAATTGGGGCCCGTTTTTCTAAACTTAGTCAGAATTTATTTATTTTTTTTAATAGAGATGGCCGGGGGGGCAGGGGAGAAGGGGCCGGACAGTGGTTAGGGAGGGACAGGCTTCCAGGCAGGTGCTGAGAGCGCCCCTGAGTGCTAGACAGGAAGGCATCCCGCGGACGGGAAAGAGCTCTGCCCACAGTCCATTTACACTTGGCAGAGGGCACCGGCCCCCCGTGCCTCCTGCGCAGCCCTTCAAATCCCACCCAACACTCGGACACATTCAAATACTGCTTTCAGCAGAAAACCCTTCCAAGTCCTGCTCCCCTCTTTTGAACCCTGGAACAAGAACACGTATGTCCTAGTTTGGGTTTTCAATGTTATCTTTTCCCCACTGCTCCATGTGAGGCTCACCGTGGCCTGTGTCTCACTTCTCAGGGTGCGTGGCACCCAGCCTCCAGCTAGGGATCTTCAGCGGAGCTGACTGGACCTGGCTAGGTCTTCTCTGACGTAAGTCCCAGTCTTTGTCCTGTTTTAAACATCACAGTCCCCGTTTGATCCCACAGACAGATCCCAGAAGGATTAAAACAAGTTTGAACCATGTTCCTACAGCTCCCTGCAGCTTTGTTCTCTGCATATTGCTTTTCTGAGCAGTAACATTTAGGAAGGGCAGACCCTTTCTCTTTATGGAAAATGGCCCCAGTGAAGGTTCTCGTGATGGAAGTAAAGAGAAAGTGATGGTTCTTAGCCAAAAGTTTTATAAGGAAATGAAATAGTACAAGAGGCATTTGTGAATTGTGATGCCTGAAGGTCTTGAGATGTAAAGGTCAAGGGTCTATCGTAGAGCAGGGGCTTTCAGCCTGAGCACTTTTGACATTTGGGGCCAGATTCTTTTTTGTGGTGGGGCTGTCCTGTGGATTGTAGGATGTTTAGCAGCATCCCCAGCCTCTACCGACTAGGTTCCAGTACCCCCAACCTTGTACCTGTGTTGTGATGATCACAAATGTCTCCGGACATTGCCAAATGTCCTGGGGTGGGGGTGGGGTGTGTGTGTGTGTGTGTGTGTGTGTGTGTGTGTGTGTAGGGGGGAGCAGCCAAGATTGCCACCAGCTGAGAACCACTGCTGATAAACACAATGAAATAAACACACTCCCAACGGACACTTCAAATAAATCTCAGTGCAAAAGATCCTTTAAGAACTTTATGAAGAAGCTAATCAGGGATGGACAATCAGGAGCAGAAATGGTAAATCAGATTTGTCCTATGCCATTGCTATTTTTTAGTTTCCAAAGCAAGAACTCTGGGCCTAGTGGGGCTCTGGGAACCCTGTAGGATAACATGAGACGTCTTTACCTCCCTGGTGAGAGTTAAAGCCTCTCGACCTTCAATAAAGGTGCTGGTGTGGGGTCCCTGGGTGGCTCAGTTGGTTAAGGGTCTGCCTTCGGCTCAGGCTGTCGTGATCCCAGGGTCCTGGGATCCAGCCCCGCAACGGGCTCCCTGCTCCATGGGAAGCCTGCTTCTCCCTCTCCCTGCTGCTCCCCCTGCTTGTGCTCTCTCTCTGACAAATAAATAAATAAAATCTTAAAAAAAAAAAAAAAAATAAAGGTGCTGGTGAGGACCAATTACAAAGACCATGGAGCAGGAGACAAATCCGAGCTGAGCCACAGGCCAGGTCAAAAGCAGTTGTGGGGCAGGAGGAGGAGGAAGGAGACAGTCTCTTCTGCCAGCAGTGTGGGGACCAGCTCCTGGAAGATGTGGCCGAAAGCAGAAGAATCAAGCCTCGCTACAGGCTAAACTGCCTCCTCCCATTCTCCACCATTCCCTGGGATGGTGGATCCGTGTCCCCGGGCTCCAGGGAGTTCAGCGCACAGCGTTCCCGCTGCCTTACCTCCCACCCAGTGGTGTCACCCACAGACGGGTGTTTAGGCAAGCGTCGTGGGCAGTTTTCGTCCACTCCCCCAGTGACAGTTGTCAAAGGGAACAGAAGGCAGCAGAGATGCGGAAGCAATGACTAGGGTTTAAGGCTGTGAAACCAGCGACCTTTCCTTCGAAAGCAACGGCAATGATCTTTGGCAAGACTGGGCTGGCGGGGCCCTCAGCAGCTGGGCCTTGTCTGGGTGGTGGTCTACGTCATCCTCTATTTGGGTCACATAATCCCTGCAGCCCTGAGCCGCTCCTGGTCCCCGTACACAGGGAACCCAGACATGCCTGTTCTCAGATCATTTCCGGGGTGGGGGGGGACGTGCGGGCCTGAACCATGTTTTGAACCCAGCGTTACCCTTGAGGGGGCCTCTCACTGGAGTCCCCTGTGAGGCTGGTCTGCCCATTACACATAATTTACGCAGAATAATGCAAGCTAAGGCAAGCATCCCAGGCACCTGTGAAGAGGAAAAGAACGGACAACAGGGCAACACCGAAGTAGGGAGAGGCTTTGTGTTGATAACAACCCAGGTCATGGGCTGATGCACCTTCATGAACCAAGTAAGTGCTCAGTATCTCAGTTTCCCAAGACCTGAAGAGCAGGTCCTGCCTGCATTGTGTTGAGCAGGGGATTCAAAGCAATGTCTAGTGAAGTGAGTTCCACTGTTTTCCTGGGCTCAGCGGTTGGTGAACCTATGCCCTTCTCCTGGTCTCACAAGGGATCAAGAACCACTCTCCCTAGGGAAACCTCAGGAAGAAGGTACAGTGTCTCCTCAAACCCTGACCTCTAACTCCTGGCTAATGCCACCTCACCCTCAACACCACCCACCCATCTCTTCTCTACATTTCTCTCCACCGGTAGGATAAGAGAATGCAAGCCATTGTTTATGGCAAATGCCCAGAGTATGCCCTTAAACACAGACCTCAAACAAAACCAAACACACAGGAAAGTTGGGGGTGGGGAGCAGAACCCACTGAGGCCTTTGGGCCTCACTGCCCAATTTCCTGTGGGTACATACTGACATGTGAAATGATTATGTGAATAACTGGAGACACAAGAAAAGTGAGCATATCAAAGTTTTTTCCTTTCTAAAACTCAGTTACAGAAATAACTCACTTTCTCATCTCTAAACGTATAGATGCTCTGAGCAGCAGCAGGGGGCATGGCAACTTTTATGGGTAGTGGGGACATTTCACTGCTGATACCAAGAGGAGGCTGTGAGCTGTTACACAATTCCGCAGATGAGAGGAACACAATTAGATTCAGTCCAAAGTTCAAGAAAGAATTTTTCCCCTGATAAATTATGGAGAGAAAGGAGGCTCCTTTGGTGCTACACACAAAAGACTGAGACCCAGTAGGAAGACCGTGGTGTCAGAAAGGCTTTTTGCCCGCTATTTTCTGAGATGCCTTCTTAGGTATCACACCACAGCTCTAGAGTCTGTGAAGTTAGCAGAGACAAAGCAGGGACCCCCAGGCTAGGAACTAAGTGCAAAGCGGGGAAGCTGCTCAAGATTAGGTAAATTCTAGAAAGAGAACTGTCGTTACTTCAGGCAGTGCTGCTTTTCCCTGGGATACTTAGTAGCACCATGAGTCAATCATTTGATTATTCCGATCCTCCAGCTAGGTATCCAGGCAAGAGGACTCCGTGATGTAACCAGGACCAATCTTTCATTACACCAAGAAGATAAACGGAGCGCACCTGTGGGAGGTGGGGTGTTGGGGGGAGGGTAACAGACCCAACACAGTAAGAAATCAATCCTTCTAATTGTTCTAATTACAGACTCCAGCAAATTGCACTTGGAAGTCTCTGCAAGCCTTCTCTGCCTCTTACGCCACCCAAGACTATAAAAGTTGCACAACTTACAATTCAGCTGGCAACCAAAGGGCTTTCAAACTGCTGAGATGAGCAAACCCAGAGTCAACAGCTGTCAATCACCATCCCCAGAGTAGGAGCACCGTTTGCAAGTGCTAGCAGCCACGCCATCAAGATCACAAGGAATCAGCAAGTCAGCTTTCTTTCCTTGACCACTCTCTGACCAGCATCCAACTCGTGAACAAACTCTCATCACATGCTCTCAGCCAGGACAGCCGAAATGCAGCGGCTGCCCATCCGCGTTCCCCACCGTGGCTTTCACCAGGGTCTCAAAGCTGCTGTCCTCACTAGTACAGTCCCCGAAGCGCGGTGCTTCTCTAGGAGCCCACGGCAACGATGTGGGTAAAACAGGTCCCGAAAGTAAAACTCACGTAGGGAGAATAGAGCTCCCCGGTCTCTGTGATTTCACCCGCCATTTCCAAAAGTGAGGAAGGGTCGCTGGGCAGCCGAGATTCCTTAGGTTTCTTCCCTGCCGGGGCGGCGGCTGCTACGGCTCCCTAGGGCGAAAGAGCAGACTTCAGCTTTCTGATAGACGTCGCTGGCGCTGGGGGACAGTTCTGGAGAGCACCCCCGCCCCGTACTTTTATTGCAGACATGGCCTTGATACCTGTCATGAGGCAGCTCTGGAAGACTGACACCTGGATGGTTTCCTCCAACTTTTCCCCTGCTCTGCAGGGCATGAAAGTATTCAATGCCGCTCAGACTCCAAGTGATAGGAGACCCGCAAGCCACTAAATCTCGCTCACCACGAGGCGCCCCCTTTGTACACTCTGCGGTGGCCATCCACATTCCATGCCAGGAACGGCGAGCTCACTACCACACAGGGCAGCCCATATAACAGTCTCCTCCGCCTAGGGCAACAAACTTGTTTGCTTAGGGCTAGGGCTTGCCCAGGTCGCTCCCCAACCCAACTCCTTGCTCCCAAACCTCTCCTTCTTAACGCTCCTCCATTTCCCACCCCCCCCAACCTGTTTTCCGCCCTGCCTTCGGGCTCCTCAGCCTCAAGCCTCCCCCTCTTCTCAAGGGCCCCGCTCCGAGCCTTTCCCCGACTTCTTCCTCCCTCCTGGAGCAGCCCGAGCCTGGCGCCGCCCAAACCCATCCCCCCCTCCCGTCCAGCCGGACACCTGCACCTCCGGCCGCCGCCTCCGGCCCCTTTGCCGCCGCCGCCGCCGCCGCCGCCGCCACCGGCGCCAGCTGTCCCTCACCAGCGCCCACAGCGCGCATGCGCCCGCGTCCGGAGCCCACCTTGCCCGTGCGCGCCCTGGGCGGGGCGCAGCGCGCTGATTGGACGCCTCGCGGAGGCGGGACCGGGATTGGGCCGGGGCGGCTGCCGTCTGCGTGGCGGAAACGGGGGAGGGGCACTCCCGGACGCGTGCGGGAAGGGGGGCCGCAGGCCGGAGGGGAAGCGGGGCGGGTCGGAAGAGGTGGGTCGCCCCCGCTGCTGGGGACGCTTTCTTCGGCTGGCAGTGGATTTGAGCTGAGTCGCTCCGGGACCCCGGTGGTTGGGGTGATCGAGGAGAGTGGCCTACGGGTTCACACAAAGGGGAGGGGACTGAGAACTTAAGCCCGCCTCACCCCGGAGCGGTCTGGTTAGACCTGGCTTGGTGGGTGGGGAGGAGGGAGGGCCCGAGTCCGGTGGCTGGGGTGGTCGCTGGGAAGAGGGTCTGGTAATAGGTTTAAAGCGGGGCTGAAGGTTGATCCTGGGGCGGAGTCTCGGGACGGGGGCACGTGATGGGAGCTTTGGGGTTAAGTCTTGGTGCTTGGGTTTGAGGCTTCGTAGTTCAGTGAGGTGGGATGGAAGGGACACGCAGAAATGGCAGCTCAGGCTTAGTCCCTTGAGATGCGACGCAAGGATTTTGTAATTATCTTTAATCGGCCCTCTTCCCCTTCTCGCAAGGGGTCTAGAGTCCGTGTTCTCTGAAATGTTTGGAAAGAAAGAAGGACCAAGACTCTTCTGACAACTTAGCTCTGGGAGGCATTTAGGGAACTGAAGGCCCAGGGCTCCCACCCTAAGTGGGAGGAAACACAGGGTCCTGGTCTTTGCCCTCCCCTCCTGCAGGCTGCTACCATGAGGTCAAACGAGAACACCTTGCTGCTGGGGAAGAAGGTGGTGCTGGTACCCTACACCGCAGAGCACGTGCCTAGGTAACAGTCCACCTAACATGGGGTGCAAACCAGCTCTCCCAAGATGCAGCTAGGAGGGTCAGCCTTCCTTAGCCCAAATCTCAGAGGCTGTTTCCTCTAAGAAGGAGAAACATTGCTGTGAGAAGTCATTACAGAAAGAAGTGATCACTGAAGGCAGAGGATGAGGACTTCCCTGGAGGAATTACACCCCTCCCCCTGCTTTTCCCTTTCATCCTCTCAGCTTCCTTTTTGGACTTTCAGCAAGGAATTATTTTATGTAAACTAAACGGGTGTAAGAAAAGAAACTGCGTAATTGTATATCAGTGACTTTCCTCTGTTGCCAGTGAATATGCTTAGGTTTTTTTCATTTTTAAGATTTATTTGTTTATTTTAGAGAGAGCGGGAGTGAGGGGGGGGAGGGGCAGATGGAGAGAGAATCCTGGAGTAGGCTCCCCGCTGAGTATGGAGCCCAGACATGGGGCTCCATCTCAGGACCCTGAGATTATGACCTGAGCTGAAACCCATAGCCGGCTGCTCAACCAACCGAGCCGCCCAGATGCTCCAAATATACTCAGTTCTTGAAGACATGATGGTAGCTTATCGTAAAACTGAGCTGATGGGTTGTTCTGATGTCTACTGTTTGGAAAGGCCAGAACTGAGTCTCAGGTTGGGACTTTTGCTGGGGCAGTTGGCAAATGTCCTGTAGGCTGGGATGGTGGCGATGTAGGGGTGTATTCTCTACTTGTAGTTTTTCTTTTTTAAAGATTTGATTTATTTGAGAGAGAGAGCAAGCGTGTGCACACAAGGGTGGGTGAGGGGGGATAGAGGGCAAGGGAGGCGTAGGCTCTCTGCTGAGCAGGGAGCCCACTCAGGGTTCTACGGGGCTCGATCCCAGGACCCCAGGATCATGACCTGAGCTGAAGGCAGACACTTAACTGACGGAGCCACCCAGGCGCCCCTGTAGTTTTTCCTTTTGTGGGGGGGTTCCTGTCTGGCCTTTGTGGAGATACGTCCAGCCATCCTTACTGAGGTCAGCTCGCCATATACTTCCGCTCAGGAATTTGAGGAATGTTTGACTTCAGACTACTCTGCACTGACCCCTGAGACAGGATGGGAAGCTGGATAGACAGAACTGATCCCTCCTGCTGGTCTCTTGGAAGACCAGCCTGCTTCTAGGTCTTGTGCTTGTGGCCCTCTGCCTAAGGAGCTATTATAACCCTTTCCTTGGATTTTTTTTGTTGTTGTTAGAGGAGGGAGAGAGGGTGAGCCCGAGTGTGAGCAGTGGGAGGGGCAGAGGGAGAGAGAGAGAGAGAGAGAAAGAGAATCCCAAGCAGGCTCCATGCCCAGCTCGGGGCTGGCGCGGGGCTCCATCTTACAACCTGGACATCATGACCTGAGCCGAAATCAAGAGTCGGACACTTAACTGACAGCCCACCGGGCGCCCCTCCTTGGATCTTTTATGAGCCCTTTTATGAATCCCAAGCAGGCTCCATGCCCAGCTCGGGGCTGGCGCGGGGCTCCATCTTACAACCTGGACATCATGACCTGAGCCGAAATCAAGAGTCGGACACTTAACTGACAGCCCACCGGGCGCCCCTCCTTGGATCTTTTATGAGCCCTCTGTTAGCCCTGTGGGGTTCTCCTTCCTACCACCCACTTCTCAGACCTGTACTTCTGAATCAGGCCCTTCCCCTGTCCCTGCAGGTACCACGAGTGGATGAAATCCGAGGAGCTGCAGCGTTTGACCGCCTCCGAGCCACTGACGCTGGAGCAGGAGTATTCGATGCAGCGGAGCTGGCGGGAGGACACGGCCAGTGAGGAGCGCCGGCCCTGGGCTGGGCTCGCAGCGGGAGGGCTGGCTCCAGAGGTGGTCTCCAGGTTCCCTCCGTTTCTCATTCCAGCTGTAGCCCTCCTGGGCCCCAGTAACCTTATGAAAACCCCTTCATGGAAAGTCTGGAAGGTGCCTGAAACCGTCATACCCTGATGCCCACGGAAGCCAGTCCCTGTGACTGAGGCTTCTTTTCCCCCCACTCGGCATCAGGCTTGGAAGGATTTAGAGGAAATAAAGCATGTGGGGCTCTGGCTGTAAGTCGAGGCCCTGCCCCTCACATCTCTTGCTCAACCGCAGCTGTGGTTCCTGCTCTCTTGAGAATATAGCCGCTGTCTGGACTCCCGTCTTTTCCTGCGTGAGGCAAATTTAGGGCTTTGGCATCAGCTAAAGGAAGCTCTGGGCCTGTTTTCCTCCTGGCACACAGTGCTCTACAGTTCTCTGGTTTGGGTAGGAAGACTGTCGTCCCTTCCCTTCCCTGGGGGAGGGTGGGCGATAACCCTGCCGCCTCTTTCCTTAGAGTGCACGTTCATTGTGCTGGATGCAGAGAAGTGGCAGGCCCGGCTGAGCACCACTGAAGAGAGCTGCATGGCGGGAGATGTAAACCTCTTTCTCACAGATCTAGGGGACCCTTCCCTGGGGGAGATTGAGGTCATGATCGCAGGTTGGTCCCACCTGGCCCTGCCTTCCCTCCCTTCTGGCCCTCGGAGCCGCTGAACCTTGAGCCAGTGAGGCTGCGTAAGGCACTCAGCTCGGTGGGAGGTTCCACACTGGGGAACCCGGCACCGAGCTGGGGCACGCTGCCGCCTGGCACTCCAGTGGCCTGCTGGTTCACCTGTGGTCGTTTGCTTTATTCCTGTCTTCTGCTTAGGGGTGAATTTAACCTTTGGTTTTGGGGGGGTCTTCCAACTTTATTCTGCCTCATCCCCACTGGGGGCCTGAGTGCTGGGAACCCTCCCCAAATGCATGACCTTCCTTGGAGCATCTTCCCGTGCTGCGGGGGGAGCCCCGCTAGTTTGTGTTCTCCTTGGTCCCCAGCTTTCCCCTAAGACTGTCCTTATGAGGCAGGACACTGAGGTTAAAGGGTCAGCTCTGGGGTCGGGTTGCTGGGTGCCTCTAAGCTGGGAGCCCTTGTGTGAGTCGTTTCAGCTTCTGTGTGTCTATTTCCTTATCTGCACAACGGCAGTAATAGTACCAGCCGTGTCGAGTTGAGGATGAAATGAGGTTTTGGCTGCCTCACAGCTGTGCCTACAGCGGAGCCTGGCACACGGCGCCAGTGATTGCCATTGTTTCTCCTAGAGCCCAGCTGCAGGGGCAAAGGCTTTGGCACCGAGGCTGTTCTCATGATGATGTCATATGGTAAGGAAGCCTGAGAGACAGTGGAGAAGTGGCCAGGCCCCAGGTGAGGGCAGGGGCATGTTGGGAGCAGGCCTTCTTCAGGCCTGAGGGTGGGGGGCAGGTGACAAGTGCCTCCACTGCAAAGTGGGAGAGGAAGTGCAGGGGCTGTGAGGGGTTGCTTCATCCTGTGGCTCGTCCCTCTCTCCGATCTTCTCTGGGAGGAGTGACCAGACTAGGTCTGACCAAGTTTGAGGCTAAAATTGGGCAAGGAAATGAACCGAGTATCCGGATGTTCCAGAAGCTTCACTTTGAGCAGGTAAGGATGTTGCTGGTGGGAGGGCGAGGCCCGGGGCGGGGCTCAGTGGTGCTGGAGCTTGTGGCTGTAACTTAGCTGCCCTGCTGTCCCCGGCTCACATAGGTGGCCGTGAGCAGCGTCTTCCAAGAGGTGACGTTTAGGCTGATAGTGAACGAGCATGAGCGGCAGTGGCTTCTGGAGCAGACCAGCCACGTGGAAGAGAAGTGCTATGGAGATGGGTCGTCGGAGTCCCGCTGACAGCTGGCCTTGTTGGCAGCCACCCTGTGTGAATGGGGGTGTTGGGACCACGCAGTCCAAAAGCCCAGAGCCCTGTAACAGAAGGTGAACTGTCGGGGCCTTTGGGGCATAGTGCCCCTGGCCCCTCTGTAGCCTGGGACTCTCCTTGTGGGGCCCTTCAGACTTTGGGCTGGACTTGCCTTGGCCTCCCTCAGGCTGGCCATGTGGATGAGTGACTTCAGGGCCAGCCCACCCTCCTGGCCAGCCCTGGACTCCCGGAACCTGGTGTGGACAGCGTGAATCCCCGGGAGGCAGGGTGGAGGTGGAAGCAGAGGCGAATGGGGGCCTGGTGAATGGAAGGCCAGAGGTGCCACCCTGGGGTGGAGGCCCTGGCTAGGAGTAAAGCCTACTGCACAGCACCTTTCCCGGCTTTTCCTTGGGCCTATGTGCAGGTGAGCCACCAGAAAGCGCAGCCTGCTGCATCCAGTCCAGCATGGTAGGATCAGGGCAGGAGGAGCTCAGTCTGCTTTTGTCCTGCAGAAGCAGACTGAGTGTGACCCCAAGAAGTTTGGAAGTGAACAAGCTAGGCCCTGAACAACAGGTGGCTTGGAAACTAAGTGGGCGAGTATCCTTGTTCTTGCTTCTTCCTCCTCTTTGGATCCAAGAGTGTTTTGGATGCAGCTCCTTGTGGCTGGAGCACCCCTCTATTGGTGAAGCCTGGAGCCGCTGCTTATTTGCAAGGGCTGCAGGAGGAAGCAGAAGCCACTCAGCAGTACCTTTCTGAAGGGGACCTGTGACCTCCCAACTCGGCGCCTCGCTTCTCAGCCTCCGGGAGCAGCTGTGCCTGACAAAGACACAAGGGGGCGCCGGAGGCACAGGTTTGGGAAGGCGGGGCTGCCCGGCAACTGGACACAGGACACCCTTGATTCCCAGCTGTCCCATTATAATCTCCGTGGCCATTGAGAGGCCAGATATGTTTCAAAATGTAGTCATGGAAGAGACCCGCGAGGGTACTTGGTATTCTCAAAGGGGGGAAACCTTCAGGTGAGTTACAGTGATTTGCTCAAGGTAGCGGAGCCAGAACTATTGCTGGGGTCCTCAGTTCCCAGCCTCCCCCCCTACCCCCATCTGGTGTATTCCAACACTTCTGTGTGGGTGAAAAACTAGATCTGACTTTGCTTGCTGAGTACAAAGGGGTTGTGTGTCTGGCCCCTCAGTGATAGGAGTTCCGTCAGCTTCGTCAGAGGCCCCCACGGCTTCCCCACCCAACAGGTGAGGTGGTGGGGGGGCTCCCTCTGCTGCCCTGTGGAGCAGTCTTTAGGCCTGGCTTACCTGTGAGGGGCTTCCACGAAGGGTCACAAGCTAGAGGCAAGGTTGGGAGGGGGTGGGCCAGGCCCGAGGCCAGGGTGCGATGAAAGGGTTTTGAATGGTTTCTCTTAAGGATGGTGGGAATCTAAGCTCTAACAGGAGGCCAAGATGACCAGATAGTGATCCAGCCTTCTCTGAACCCTAGGGGCTCCCTGGGTCCTCTTTGATTATCGGTCTCCTTGAGCATGTTTCCCTTCCTTCCCTCCAAGCACCTCTGGGCCTGGCAGCCTCAGCCCTTGATGGCCACCCTGGCCGACTTCCAGGATGTGGCCTCAGGTACCAGGGGTGGAAGAGACCTGGATCTCTTGAGGAGGAGCAGGGTATTTTGCCCTTGGAAAGTCCCCTCCACCCCACCTGCCACAGAACACGTCCTGGACCACAGCCCTCCGGTCATGTCCACAGCCAGATAAGATGGGGAATCCAGTGTGAGCTCTGGCCACTCCTGGAGATCCCGCACCCCGCTGGGTGTGAGTGGGAGAGATTAAAGCCATGTCTTTGCATTCCAAATGCAGCTCCTTCCGGGATTCACAATTTCAGTGCTCTGAATTAGAAACTGCATGAAGTCCTCTGAGCACGTGGATCTTCCCTTCCACTTCCTACAATAAAGGTTTCTCGGGGGCAGCCATGCATGCATCCAGGAGCTGGGCAGGTCCTACTCCCATGGGACCTGTGCAAAGCCCAGACAGCTATGGGGCCCAAGGCCCTCTGAACACAGCTGCCCACATTCTACTCCCCACCCCCCCTGGAGTCAGAGAAGCTTGGACTGTCCTCCCCTCCAGCTGTACCCCACCCTCTCAGCCAGAGGCTACCCTGGGAACACCCAGAGCTCTAAAAGAAGACACAGAGGCTGAGGCAGTTTGGAAGCCAGTTGAATTTCTGATGGAGTTTCCTTACAATAGGGTGGTTGGGCAAGGGTTAGACCCTCTCCATGCTGCCTGGGGCTTCAGAGTAGGAGCAGAAACAAAGTTTAAAAGGCTGAGGTTGCTGCTGTGTCCTGGATGCAACAACCTGGGAAATCATGTTAATCAAGGAAATAAAAAATCGCTCTAAACTCTGATACTGCACTCAAAAAAAAATCAAATGAACAAAAATAAGATGCCCAAGCCACAGCTCAAGGATGATGGACCCCTGTCCGTTCCACAATGCTGTTGCTGTCATATGAAGTCCTTGATCAACCCTGGACTCAGTCATCACTTGGGGTCATGAGGGAACAGGACCTCTCACCGGGTCTTGCTTGGTGTGGGTTCCAGTGATGTCCCTGGGGAGTGGCAAGGGGCTGAAGCATTCAGTAAGGAGGAGCAGGAAAGAGTCTGTTTTCTGATTGGGGCAGGATGGAAACACATTCACCTTCCCGGAGGTAAGGGAAGAGCATAGTTCTAGAAAAATCAGATTCACCTGATGTCGGGGCCCGGGGGGGGGGGATGCTGGTGATTTGTGTGTTGATTGGGGGTGGGGGGAGACAGGGAGTGAGTGAGGAGGAGGGTGAGTGAGCTGGGTTGGGGCCTGGGGGCTGGCCAGGCCCTCCCAGGTGCCTGAGGGAGGATGCTCAGAGGTTGCCGAAGAGTTCATTTTTCTTGCTCCAGTCCATCTGCGGGGCCCGCTTGCTGCTGCGCTTCTGGTGGGCCCGTTCTTTGGCCACGGCCAGGGAGATGTTGAAGTCCAAGATGGGGTCGGAGGAGGAGGAGGTAGACGAGGGTGCCGTGGAGTCCTGTTTCCTGGGGCTGTCTTGGGAATTCAGCTGCAAAGAGGCAGCAGCAGAGGGCAGGAGTCAGCGCCTGGCCAAGCGTCCCGGTCCTCAGCCTCGGCAAGGTGGCTCCCTTGGGGCAGTGCCCAGGGAAGCCAGGTCACAAGGACAGAACGTGGCATAGCATGTGACCTCCAAGGCAGGCTGGTGTGCCAGGAACGAGTGTGGCCTGGGAATGGGCTTCCTGTAACCCAGTGCCAACCCTCTGCCCGCCCAGCCGGCAGCCTACCTCCACACTGGTGTCAGTGGAGATGGATCTTGCCAGGGCTGATCTGGGGCTCTCAGAGGCCACCTCGGCCAGAGCTTCACGACTGTTCTCCTGGCACAAAGAGGAGGGGTGTGGGTGGGGAAGTCCTGAACAAGAAAGGGTGTTCCCAGGGAAGACAGGTGGCCTTGGTCTGAGAAGCTCCACTCAAGCCTTTCCCATCAATCCCAAAGCCCCACTGCCTGAGTCTGCCGGGGGGGGGGGGGGGGGGAGGGGGCGCTTGGGGATTGACGTTTTACATTCCTCTAAGGATCAGAGGGCAGCCTGGTTCCACCACCCAGGTGGGAGGGACCATTGTGGGATTAGCTGAATTGCTCACAAGCCCCCCCAACTCCCCAGCCCTCCCAAAGTAGCCTTCAGTGTTGACTAGCCTTTTGGGCCAGTGACCATGGAGGGGCTTCACGGAGTGTGGAGATACTGAGGGCCTCTGCTTGGCACAGGGAACTGTGTGATACTCCTTGAATTTCTTGCAGCCCACGTGTTTCCTTGGACTTAACCCCAGGAATCTTGAAACCTTAACCTCAAAGCAGCTAAGAAGGGCTTTGAAGGAATAAGGGGGACGAGAGTTCTAGGCCCGCAGATGGAGTGACAGAAGGTTCAGGTGGCCCAGGGCCACCCCCCCCTTGCACTAGCCCCTGGGGATGGGAACCCTTTGAGCAGACGCTTCAGAGAGCTCCAGCTCTGTGGTCTGACTCTGAGCCAGCCTGTCCCAGAGTGAAGGTCTTGGCCAAGGCTTCAGCTTGGTGCTCAGCCTCCGCCTGGGTTCCTCTGCGGCCTCAGCTGGCAGCAGGCCCCACCATCTCTTCCCCAGCCTCCACTGCCTTCTCTTCCCTTCTGCCCAGGGAGGAGGGGAGGAGGGGCTTTGTTCTCCCAACCCAGACTGGAAGTAGCAGGGCCCAGGCAGCGTGCGTCCAGACACTGAAGCTCTGTTCTTGGGGGGAAGAATGGCCTCTTCTGTACGGTGGGGAGTTGAAGGCGGGGCTTGTCACCAGGATGGCGGGCTGCAGATGGGCCAGGCTAGGCCTCTCCCTCCCAACTGCCTTGGCTCTACACAGGGGTTGAGGGGTGCACCGGCAGTTACAGAACTTGGAGCTCAGGAGGGAGCAGCTTGGAAATGGGAGTTTCAACTTGAGCCAGACCTCCGTCCTTGTCCCAACCATGCCACCTTCCACCCTTCTCCTGTCCTGGCTTGAGAGCCAGAGAAGCATTAGAGGGTCTGCCTTTACCTTCTGAATCTCCCCGTTGGTAAAGGGCTCAGGCAAGGGACCTAGGAGAAGGGAAAAAAACAAAACGGCAGAGGTGAGTCCAGGAGCTCTGGGGAATGTGGATGGAGTAGCGCCCAGAGAGGAGGGATAGCTTCGGGGTTTGGGCCATAATTAGACCTTGTGCCCTACATCAATGTTTAGGTCTCTTGATTGCAACCCTCGGGAAGTACTGCTGACATTCTGATGACCCAGCGCACACACACACACACTGCGTGTAACGTTTCACAAAACGACATTTACTCTTACTACCTCCTAATGCTCTCCAGTACTTTCAATTCAATTTCATTTAAAGAAGTATGCTAGTCTCTGCCTATTAAGTTGATCTTGCGAACCACGGATGGGTAATGAGCAATTTGGAAAAACCACTGTCCTAGAGGGAGAGGAAATTCCCGGCTGGCTGCCTAAGAAGCTTGGGAAGCTTGTTAGAAATGCAGATCCCCAGGCCTGGGCACCAGAGCCTGATGTTTCCTAGGAGAAGACGCCATCACCAGAGTTGGAACCACACCCCAGATTCTGGTTAGTACCTGCCTCAGCTGAAGGAGAAAATAATCCCCACTCCTGCTTGCCCATGTGAGGGTGGGGGGGTGCTCAGAAGGAGAGAACACCAGCCTGGGGTCCCCCCCAATGGGCGGGCTCAGGTACGGGCCCCACCTGGCTGTAAGGTTGGACTGTTCCACCTCTGGGGCTGGCCAGCCTGGGTGGGTTTCTTCTGAACTCTTAGTTTACGATCTACATGCATCTTTCCGGCTGGCCTGGACGTGGGGCTTACCTGACTGTCACATTTCTTCCCCACTGCTACCCACCCTCTTCCCACAGTTGGCTGGGCAGGGGCTCACTGGGAGGAGCGGAGGGCAGCCTGGAGGACCCTCCCCCCCCAGATATCTGGGGAGGAGACTTGCCCTCAGGCCTCTCCCTGTGTAGTTCCTCTGGCCTGAAGGCTACAATCACTGGCAGCCCATCCCACCCAGCCAGAGAGATAAGAAGAAGGAATGTCTGAGGGCTGATCTCTTAGGGTTAGGTGGGGGAAGGATGCTGGAGGCCTCGGGAAGGTATTTGAGGAGCTGTGTGGAATTCAGATCTCAGCTGTCTTCCCCATACCATGTGGCCAAGAGCAAGGCTGCGGCTTCTCGGGGCCTCAGTTTCCCCCTCACTTAAGAAAGCCACTATCTTGAGTTCTCTGGTTTCTGTGAACTTGGGAAACAAGGGTAAGGTGCTGCCCCACCTTCCATGGCTGGAGTCGGCTTCCACCTGACCCCTCCACCTAGGAATCTAAGTCTGTGGCAGGACCTTTAGGTGGATCACCCCCCTACAAAATAAAACCCTGACACCTTTAAGGAGGCCCCACCCACTGCGAAGTCCAAAGAAGTTGTATCCCCCCCCACCAGCCATCTTTCCAGGGAGAAAGTCCAGACCAGGGAGAAAGTCCAGACCAGGGAGAAGAGCTTTGCTTAACTCCTCCCTGCCCTTGGGCAGCAGCCTGGCCCTGTTTGGCTGGGGCTTGGGCAGGGGGAGGTGCCAACGTGATATGGGGGATGGGGAGGGCAGGGGCCCAGGGACCAAGGAGGGACCCACTGCTGTCTAGAGCCAGTGAGCCTGGGTTTCCAAGACAACCTGAGGAGGGAGGGGAGGCGCTGGGCCCCTGTCACTGGACTCTGATCTGACCAAGCAAAGCTGGAGTTTTTAACCCTTCCCTTGCATGAGCGCTGCCTGGAGAACCTGCTTGGGGTGCAGGGGCTGGGGGCTGAGGCCTCCCTCTGGTGCTGCAGCTCTGGTCTGGGAATAAGTACCTCTGTCCTGTCCCGCCATCCCCTGGGCTGGCCTAACCCTGTCCTATGCAGTCCGCAGAAACCCACTGCCATCCCGCCTCCTCCCTGACATCAGGCCCCTCTTTCCCAACCTTCGCTTCTGGCCTCCCCTGAAGGAGAGGGAGGGAGCTCTGAAGCAGGAAGCTGCCCACCGCTTGCCCGGGACCCAGTAAAACCTAGAGCACTGGCCAACATCCCTGACTTGGGGGCTGCCATCTGCTCACCATTCAGGTGCTCCTGAGATGGGATCACTTTGCATTTCTTGAAGAACTCATCAGTCTCCTTGTCGACCACCAGCAGCTTGGTCTCATCCCCACCAGCCTTGATGGCAGACACCACATCACCGTGCTGCTTGCCCTCCACGCAGACCCCGTTCACCTGTGGGGGGTGGGGGGGTGCTGGGGTTACTGGCACAGTTTTGGGGGTAGGTGGGGGCAGTATGAACGGTCCTTTCCGTGTCCTCGCCATTTGGCAGTCTGGGGACGTGAAGCCCCCGGCACCCCCGCCCCCGGCCTGTGGAGTCTTGAACTAAGCCAAGTGGTCCTCCCACTTGACAATCAAATGAGGAGGCAGGACACATGAGAAAAGCCAAAGAAAATATCCAGAAAAGACTAAACAAACACAGCTGTGACAGAAGGACAGGAAGGATCGGGGAGGCCTGGGATGGGCCCGAGCGTTTCTATGTACTTATGTCTGACTTCCCGCTCTGGGCCGTGGTTTGCTCCCGTGTAAAATGAGAAGTCTTGGGAGAGCTGTTCTAGCTCTAAGGTTCTAAGACTGAGATTCTGGGTCCTGCCCATGGCACGGGGTTCATGTTTCCCTTCCTCCTGAGCACCGCACAAGAGTGTCTGAGTTCACCTGCCACCATGGAGGCCTCAGGCAGTAGGAAACTGCGGGCGGCCCCACACATCTACTGGAATGGCTGGGTGAACCCTGGGCCACTGAGTGTGTGTCTCTCAGTGAATAAGAACCCAGAGAAGATGGGGGCAGGAAAGAAGTCCATCCACCATCCACCACCTTCCTTCCTACCTTCCTTCCCTCCCTCCTGCCCACCCACCATGCTTCTCCTCTCTCCGGCTCCCTCCCTCCATCTGAGATCTATGTGCTGCCTGGACCCCTTGGGCCAACCAAGGAGCAGGTAGCAGGTGGTGGGATGGCTACCCCAGGAAATGCTTATCTGTGTGGAGGCAGGCAGGAAGGGGGTGCCTGGAAAGAGGGCAAGAAGCGTTACCTCCACGATGCGGTCCTGAGCCCGGAGCCCTGAGGCCTCAGCAGGTGAGTCTGGGTCCACTGCCCGGATGAACTGGCCTGGCCTGGACTTGTCGCTGTGCAAGTTGAAGCCGTAGCCATTGGCACCCTTCTTCATGGTGCAGAGCCGAGGCCGGAGCTCACGCTGTGGGGATAAAGGAGGGTCCGTGGCCATTCTCCGTCATCCTAGGTCCCACCCTCCCTGCCCAGTGCCTGACCCCTTCCCCTTGCCCCCAAGGAACACATGGGAATCAGGCAAGTTTGCTGAGATCCCACAGAGCAAGTTGAGAGAATGCTGGGCTGGGACCCAGAAGACCTGGCATCGTAGCAAACTGCCCAGGTGCCCCGTCCAGGCCAGTTACCTCCTTCTGGCAAACGGGAGGTGGGACCAGTTTAGCTCAAGTCCCTCCCCTTGTGACATTCTAAGGTTAACTGTGTTATTTTGATTGTTACCTTATCCCTCCCCTGTAAAAGTTCAGTCTGGCCCCCTTTGGGGTGGGGGTGGCACGGCTGTTAGCCTGGCTGGGTGACTGGGGATCTGGGCCCCTTGGTACCCAGTTCTCTGCAGCAGGGGAGACAGGGCAGGTGTTTACTGAAAGCTGGTCGGCATGTTTATAGTAAAGCCTTTCCCCATCCAAGCCAAACGGCCCAGCCAAAAGGCAGCAGGCGGCCAGATGACCCCAGACCTGGGGGAAGCACAGCCAGGGGTCCTGGACAGGACAGGGACCCCCACCAGCAGAAGGCTGGGGGCGCAGGAAGCAGAACCCCAAAGGCCCTGTTGGGGAAACCTGAATGGGGAAGGGGCTATGAAAAGCAGGGCTGGGTTGCATGGAGCCCTGCGTGGCTGTGGCCACGGCCCAGAGTGGGGACTGAAAGGGCTCAGGCAGGTTTTTCTCCAGCACTCGGACACTCAGCTGAAAATGGTTTTCACCATCCTTGGTCCAACTTAAGTAGCTTAGCTTAGACGCTGCAGCCCTAGGACCCATTTACACAATGGAGGGAATCTGGGTGTGCATGGGCCAAGCAACTGGAACCTTGGCCAGAAGCTTGAGCCCAAGGCCTGACTTGGGGGTCCCTCTTCCCCTCCTCCCAGGCCTGGGCAGGGCTGCAGCAGCCATCCTGCTAGTGCCGGGTGATCCCCCAGGCCACCAGTAAACGAGCGAAGGCTGGAGTCAAGGCCCTGGCCCCAGGGTCAGCTTCCCTACTTACTAGCTCTGTGACCCAAGGCAAGTCATTTCCTTCTTGCGCCTCTGGTTCCTCATTTATAGGGTCCCAGGGTCGCCGTGAGGCCAAGTGAGGTAATTCATACAGGTGGGAACACTCCACAACTTCAAAATCCCTGCGCACATGCAGACCTTCCCAGTGCTGGGAACACTAGAATAGTCACATGAATCCGAGAAGGGAGATTCTGGGGGGTAGGGTGGGGGACAGGCTGCTCTGAAACGCCAGTCCCCAGCTGGGAGCAGAGCTGGCCAGGGAGGCAGTGAAGGAAAGGAGAGCTTACAGGCCTCCTGCCCCAACTTGCCAGTCCCAGGAGGCAGCTACCATCTGAGGCTCCCCACCCCTCCACTCTCATGGGGGGTGGGGGTGGCCAAAGGATGACTTTGCCTTCCTTCCACTGCCCGGGCAGGGCAGGTCTTTCCAGGTCTTTCCGTGTTTCAGGATGTGGGTGGGGGGTGCGGAGAGGAAGACAGAAGAAGGGGTGATGGTTGGACCTGTGTTCATCCTGATCTGGGCCAGAGGCCCTGGGCCCTTCCCTAGTTTCTCCTTCAGCAGGCTCCCCTCACCCCATACAATAGCAAAGCCAGAGAAGCAAGCATTAAAAAAAAAGGGGGGGGCAGAGGGGGTGCCCAGTGGTTGTGAAGCATCCTCTTCTCCCCAACTCTGTCAGCAGGGTGCAATCCCACCAGGGCCCCCCTCCTCCCTGCGTGCTGCTGCTTATCCCCTGGCAGCCCCCACAGGATCTTGTTCGGGAGTAAGTGAGGCTCTTCTCTCCCCTCCAGCTAATCCCTCCACAAAGCCGCTGGCCCAGCCCTCCCCCAGGCTGAGGTGAGCAGGAACAGGTCTGACCAGTTGCCACCACTGTGCAGGCTCAGCTTTCTGCCCTAGCCAGGCAGAGCCCGCAATCACCCTGAGAAAGTGAGGAGGAGAATGGTGCGGGGGGG